TTCACTTCCTTAACCCTCAGGAGGCATTGGTGGTTCACTGGCAGAATTCTCACCTTTCATGACAGAGACCCAAGTTCAATTCCTGGCCAAAGCACTTCAAGTGCAGCCACACCCGTTAGTTAGTGGAGGTGTGCACATGGCCATGATGCTGAACAAGTTTCAGTGGAGCTTCCAGACTAAGATGGAGTAGGAAGAAAATGCCTGGTGATCTACTTCAGAAAATCAGGTAATGAAAACCCTGTGCATTATAACAGTCCAATCCATTGGGCACGGGTCACTGGAGAGCAGCTGACAATCCTAATACTTTGATAGGTGAGTCACTCAAAGGTGACACTGCTAAGTCAATCCTTAGTGTGGTGTTACAGCTGACCTCTGAAGAGCTGGGTCATTCTTGGAAGTCTCTTTGGGGCATCCTAACTCCACTTTATCAAAAGTCCAGGAAATTAAGCACAGAGTTCATGGATCGGATCCATTAATATTAAGGATCGAACTCACAATAATAGTAGTCATTAATAATTTGTGAGGCATCAACCTGTGAATAGTAATATTAATAGCTAAAATGTATTGAGACATACTATGGGCAGCCACTGACTAAAACTTGATGAATATTATCTTGAGCCCCACAACAACGCTGTACAGTTAGATCCCACTCTGTCCACTTTACAGGTGAGGAAACAGAAGCACAGAAAGCACAGAGCACTAGATTTCTGGGCTATGCTGTCCACTTCGAGGTCTCTAATGCCTGTCACCTGGGCTGCCAGGTTTAGTTCAAGTGAGACCCCCTCCCACCCTCAGTGGCAAGTAACACAGTCCAGGAGACCTGATTTTGGGGAGGTTTCCACACACTTCCACAGGACACACCAGTGTTTTCTCCTCTAGCAAATATCCTCCTAGAATCATTCTAGTATATAAAAGCAATCTGCATGTTTTTAATTAAAAATATATCAAAAACACCCTTACAAATTGTTTGAATTAACACCGCTGTTAATGAAGCCAAGTCTACATAACCAGCCCTCTGGAACGTCAGAATGCTGTTTCCTCAGGTCTAAGTGCTTTGCAATCATCATTCCACAAACTGAAAGATCTTATCTTTTCTCCAAACAGCAAACCAAGCAAAATCCTAGGATGCCAGCCAGGAGACACAGCTTCTGGAGAAACTGCTCCCTACTTGTTTCACTTCCAAAAGCATTAGCTTTCTTCAGGGTCCCTGGAAACTCAGTGTGCCCACGCAGGTGAAGAGCAGACTCTAGTAGTAAGAAGGGAGTCCTGGGTGGTGCAAGCAGTTACCTGCTGGCAACCAAGAGGTTGGCAGTTCAAACCTACTCAGAGGAACCTCGGAAGAAAGGCCTGGAGATCTGCTCTGAAAACCACACGGGGCACAGTTCTACTCTGCAACACACGGGGTTGCCATTAATTGGAACTGACTCAAGAGCAACTGGAAGGTAGCAAAAAAAAATTAAGATCCCTGTTTGTAATGAACACTTTAGATATTTCCAGAAAGTGGAAGCAACATATCCCTGCAACATTTGCTCATGTCAAGGAAGGACCTTTGACTTAAAAGAAGGAAGCGCGAAGGAAGCTTTGAATATGTTTATAGATTGAGAGAAACTGGCAGATAGACTGCAGTAGAAAACAGGAGAGAGGGTGAAAGTGATAGGTACAGACGTAGGGGCAGGAGAAAGGAGACTGTTCCAGTGCCCAAGAGTAGGAATTTACATTGGGGGAAATAACCTGTCAAGGAGATGGGCTGACAAGTGCCTGCAACAATGGGTCAAACATAGTAACAATTGTGAGGATGGCACAGGATCCGGCAGAGTTTCATTCTGTTGTACATAGGGCCGCTATGAGTTCAAACTGACTCAACAGCAACTAACAACATTTCTCTATTAGAGACAAGAAAGGTGATGATGAGTGGAAACGAGATCTTTTAGGTACAGAGGAAGATATTTGTGTCAGATGGCCTCAAATATTTGAGAAAGATTGAGGAGGGTAGAGTTCACTGAAGAAGGCTTGAAAATCAAAAACTAAACCCATTGCTATCAGAGTAGAACGGACCCAGAGGGTTTCCAAGGCTAGAAATCTTTATGGAAGCAGAATGCCTCATCTTTCTCCCACAGAGCAGTTGGTGGGTTCCAAGTGTCGCATTTTGAGTTAGCAGCCGAATGCTTTGATCACTGTGCCACCACAGTTCCTTAGAGACTCACCAACCCCCCTGAAATTCTTTTCTCTCTAATGCCTGGAGAGCAAACAAACATTCATTTTTTAAAGGTGACCTCCACCAAGAAGCTTTCCATGATCACAATGATAGTTAATGTTGTGTATCAGCTTAGCTGAGCCATAATTCTCAATGGTTCAGCAGTTATGATGAGCCATCCTCCATGATAAGATCTGATTAACGTAATCATCTCCATGAGAGATCTGCTATAAGTAGCCAGTTAGTTGAAAGGGAGTTTCTGCAGGGGTACAGCCTACTTTTAATACGTATGGACGTCCTGGCAAAGCGCTCTGGCTTTGTTGCTCACTCTGAATCCTGCATCTGGCTCCTCATCATCTGACCGCCAGTTCACTGGACTTGAACAGCAGCCTACAGCCTGCTATAGTGCCTGCTGATCTTGGGTTCATCAGCCCAGGCAACTATGTGAGTCAGGAGAAGCCTCCAGCCTGAGGTGTGAGTGACCCACAGACATGGGACTTGCCAGCTTCTACCCTGTGAACCATTTCCTTGACATAAGTACCTCTTTCTCTTTCATATATACACACACACACATATATATCACTGGTTTTGCTTCTCTAGAGAACCCAAACTAGACAATTACTGACCTCTCATTCTTTCATGCCAACCTACATATGCCCTGCATATAGTCCTAATCTCACAGAAACCTAAATAAACTCACTGCTGTCAAGTCAATTCCGACTCATTGCGACCCCTCCTTGGGTTTCCAAGGCAGTATCTCTATGGAAGTAGATTGCCCAGTCTTCCTTCCTAGGAGTGGCTGGTGGATTTGAACCAGCAGCCTTCTGGTTAGCAGTAATGCCTTACGCACTATGCCACCAGAGCTCCTCAAGCACTCCACATTTCATCATTTCTAAAATGAACATTTTTTCACATTTTAAAATCTCTGAAATTAGGATGTGTCTTACGATTGACAGGATGTCATACTTCAATTGAAAGATTTTTTTTTTTTTAATTTCTTGGTGGTACAAATAAAAAGACAAATCTTACATTGTGACAAATTGGTGAAATGCAGCTTCATTATACTAAGTATTCAACCTCTCAAGATGAGTGCAGAAGTGGCTCCTAGCTAGAGGTGGTCTTCCTTCCCCCACCCCTGCTCCACTGTGGGCATTTGGCTATGTCTAGAAACATTTTTGCTTGTCTCAGTTGAGGTGAGGTGCCACTAGCATCTAGTGGGTGGAAGCCAGGATGGTGTTAAACATCCTATGATGCATAAAGCAGATCCTCAGAATAAAGAATTACCCACCTCAAACTCTCAATTGTGCCAAGGCTGAGAAACCCTGATGGACAGTAACAGTATTTATTTGGGTGTAACTATGCTTTATTGTGTTGGATTTAAAATACATCTTTCATGTGTATTGTGCCATCTAATATATAGCAACTTCTTTCAAACCTTGGGAGGTCTGGTGGTGTAGTGCCTAAGGCATTTGACTGTTAACCAGAAAGCTAGCGGTTCAAACCCACCAGCCACTCCTCGGAAGGAAAGTTGGGCAATCTACTTCCATAGTGATACCACCTCAGAAACCCAAGGAGGGGTCGTTATGAGTCAGATCCCACTCGAAGGCAGTGTGTTGCATTCTTTCAAACCTTGGCTTCTAGAGCAAGTGTGGTAATTCTTAAGAAGTGCTCTAAGCTTTCCTTGCCACCCTACTCCATATCCATCAGAAAAGCCTTGGACAGGTCTATGTGCTATGGGGCAAACGGTTAATGTACTCTCCTGTTAACTGCAAGGCTGGAAGTTTGAGTCCAGCCAGGGTGCCTCAGAAGAATAGCCTGCCAATCTACTTCCCAAAATTCTGCCATTGAAAATCCTAAAAAGCACAGTTCTACACACATAGACACACACACACACACAAGGGACACCTTGAGGCAGAATCAACTGATTCCACAGCAACTGGTATGTTTTAGACTTCCAGAAGGAATGAATGAAGCAATATTGTAGGTCAAACTTTGGAAGCTACAAGGTCTCAAAGATATTTGAGACTTTAAACCCATTAGGCTAGTAAGTGGCAAGGTCAGAACTAGAACCCAGACCCTGATGTTTTCCACATCCCACTCAGCCTGGAAGGCAGCTGCTCTGCTAGCTTACTAACTTGGCTAAAACAGTTTGGTACTTTAAGAGGAAACTGTGCCCTACAAACATGAGCTATGTGACTTAGCAGTAGTTTAGTATTAGTATTCACGCTTCAACACCTGGGGTCCAACCCCACTCTCACCCCACTTTATGAGAATTCAGGTTGACTCTATAAGGCTCCTGAGCTCTGTGGGGAATTAGATTTATGCAAAAGTAGTTGCGATTCATGAGTGTAAGGGAACTTTCAGTAAACATAGATGATTTTGTTATACAAAAGGCAGAGAGGACATAATATGTGCATTTAAGTTTCAGGGAAAGAGTTATTCATTTGGAAGGGCGGCTGGCTGGGTGGGGAAACGGGACAGCTGTCCTCCATCCCTAGAGCTACACATGTGGAAATGGCCTTCAGCTGAAATAGGAAGTTGGATTTATGTGCAGAGAGAAGTTCCAGCGGAAGGTTTTGGCAAGGCCTTCCCGCTTCTCTGTTCCGCAGTCAGGTGGACCCCAGGCGGGCCCCTAGCTCCCAGCTTAACTGCCAATTCCCGGCACTCCCACCGCTCCCCTTCCCAGTGGGTAGCCCTTGTCAGACTCGCTGCCCCACCAGGTCTCTTGTCTCCACGCGGGATCCAGCACTGCTCTGCAGGCAGATCCTGTGCCCGAGGGCTCCTAACCTAACCCTGGCGAACTCACCTTCAGGTGGATGGGGAAGGCCCGCTCCTGCTGTAGAGGGCCCAGCAGCGTCTGCTCCACGCTCACCAGCTCGGAGGTCGAGTCCACCACGCGGGCCAGCGCGCTGCGCATCGCCATCCGAGCCAGGGTACAGGGCCCGCGGGCCCGGGAGAAAGGCAGCAGCTCCGCTCCCCCCTCAGCACCTCGCACCGCCTCAGCCTCTGTGGAGCTCGCAGGGGCTGCGGTGACCCCCGTCCTGACCCCCACCGCCTCTTCCTCGCGCCCAGACCCCGACCGGGCTCGCACTGGGCCTGAGGGACAGGATGGGGAGGCAGGCACGTGCTCCGGGTTGCGCTGGCTCCGGGGGGCGCCTGGACCGTCCCCCCAACCCCACTCCTGCTGCAACAGCTGCAGGGTCTGCAGAGCCACCATTTGGTGGCTGATGGAGGCTACTAAGGGCGCGGGGCTGGCCATCGCCTTCGCCTGCAGCTTTGCGTGCGGGCGGAGCTGCGGGCGGGGGAGCTGTGGGTCGCTGGGGTCACATTTTCCAACCCGCAGCTCTTCGGCCTCCCTGTCTCTCCAAGTAGGTGGCTGGCCCCGCCCCAGGCCCGCGGTCGATGACCAGTGCGGAGCCCTGCATTCGCTTCCAGTTCGAATTTGCTTGTTGGGACCCAAGGCTGCCTGAAGCGCTGCTCCCGTGCTCTTGAAAATCAGCCAGACGCTGAGCGCTGCTCCTTCTTCCTCTCTAGGGCTTTGTGCTGATGCGCGCATCCACAAGGATACCCCTCCCCCAACGCTTTTAAAGAGTGCTTTTCAAATACCACTTACGCCACGGGGTAAAGGGTGTAAAAAGCTACCTGGGCTCACAGATGTGGTGATACACACACATACACAACATTAAACTGTGCCTGCTCCTCTTCCTCCCCAACCCCCAGCTGAAGGGAATTTTGGGGAACTTCTTGAAGTAGCCTTTAAGGCCTCAGGTTCTCCATACAGAAGAAGGTGGATTTGAGTATCTTCAGGTTCCGCTTGTCTATGACACATTTGCAAGCAAGAGCCCTCCAATTGAGGCAGCATCAGGGTGGAAGGGGCGGAGGCCTGCTCCCGAACTGACTTGCCTGGCGCTGCCCCAAGCAGAGCATTAATGGCTTTGTGTGAAACTCCCGAAGGATTTAAGGCAGTAAGGTATGAAGCTAAATCCTTTTATGAGCCATGAACCCAGGGACAGCTGTACAAATATTTGCTGTTTTTAATTAAACTCAACATTGCTACTTCCTTGACGTAGGTTAGGAAAAAGGACTAACAATTTTATTCTTTGATAGTTGGAAACAATTGGTGTGTGGTTGCACTTTTAAAACAAAACAAGATAAAAAAGAATAGCATGGGTAGAATAGTATGGAGGACTGTCCCAGAGCAGCGTGGTGTCTGCTTTCTTCCTGCCTTGGAAGACAGACAACCTCTGCCTCAATTACCAATTGCCTTCCAGTCTATTCTGAGTCATGGTGACCTCGTGTGTCAGAGCAGAACTGCACTTCACAGGGTTTTCCATGGCTGGTTTTTCAGAAGTAGAATGCCAGTCCCCCCTTCGAAGGTATCTCTGGGTGGACTTGAACCTCCAACTTTTCTGTTAGCAGATGAACAATGGAGCATGTTAGCAGCCAAGTGCAATAACTGTTTGCACCACCCCAGAAAGCCCCAAAGCACTACACAGCAGGGGCAAAGGCGCAGGTCCATGACAGACAAGTGGAACCTGGAAGATTGGAGGATGGGATTTCATTCTTCCTTTAGAAGGGAGAGGAGTTCCTGCATGGTGCAAACAGTTAACACACTAGGCTGCTAACTGAAAGGCTTGAGGTTTAAGTGCAATCAGGGGTGCCACAGAAGAAAGACCTAGTGATCTACTTCTGAAAAATCAGCCATTGAAAACTCTTATATAGAGCATAGTTCTTTCTGATACATATGAGGTCACCATGAGATGGAACCCACTTGCTGGCAACTGGTTTTTGTTGTTGTTTTAGAAGGAAGAGTTCACCCTTGGTGCAAGAGGAGTAAGACCTGGAGCAGAGCTTGAGTGGGAAAGCTGCCCCCATGAGTCTATAAGTCTAGAAGGTGGTCATCAGAGATACGATAGGGATATGGGGTCCTGTAAAGTTTCTTTAGCTCTGGGATAGTACGACCCCAAACAGTCCTTCCAACTCGCCAGTGAAGGTTCCTTCTAGTTCTCAGTGTTTTCTTCGCCTACAAAAACAAATCTGAATGCCAAAGTAAAGAAAATCTTTCTTAAGCAAAAATGAGTATGTTCACACTAATTATAACTAAGCAAAAATGCATGTCTACACATTGACAGAGAGGAAATTATTTTGGAGGAAAGCAAATAGTTTAATGTTGATTAGCTTCTCTTGCCATAAAGTTGCTTTAAATCATAACAAAAAATAGAAAGAGAAATTCTTCTCAGGTTTTTTTTTTGTTTTGTTTTTTAATCCTCAAACGTTGGAGTCCATTAGGTTCAGCAGAGACTAACTGGGAATAGCAAAAACTACTCCTTAATTTTCACAGAGCATGTCAGATCTCCAGGGGTGCTCCTCTTTCCAGATACTCAGGAAATCCAGTTTCATGGCTAACCCTTCCACTATCAAATGGCTGACTACAAAACCTTCTTGACAGATGGAATTCCAGCCAACAGCAGAATTGAAATCACTAGATGCAGCCTGACCTGAGGCCCCACTGTTCTACATACCAGCTGTCTCTGAGAGTCCTGAGACCAAGCTAGCCTGTGGGGGATTAAGAGAAGGGTTCCAGAAATCCATAGGGCCGAGGAGTGAGACATGCTGCTTGAATACATGCTGCCAAGTTTTTCTGATCTCCTTTAGCTCATTGGATCATCCAGCAACTCAGTGCTTTGTCTTTCTTAGTCAGGAGCCACACTGTCTTTTGTTGTTGTTGTTAGCCACAATGCAGTGGATTCCAGCTCTTGTGTGCAGGGCAGAACTGTGCTCCATAGGATTTTCAAGGCTGTAAACTTCCAGATGCAGATTACCAGTTCTGTCTTCTGATGCACCTCTGAGTGGGTTAGAACCACCAACATTTGGACTATTAGTCAAGCACTTTAATCATTTGTACTACCCAGGGGCTCCTTTGTCTTTGGCAATGAACTTGAAATGGCTTATGTTCCAAAACTAGAGATATAAAGTGCTAACAGAGGAAAAGTATACAAAAGCTATTTAGAGGAATCAATAGCATGACTGATCTACCTTGGGTCTAGAACACCTGCAAAGTTATTATGTATGCTGGGCTACCAGACCAGGTAATGAATCACGTACTGTCTATCCATTGTACTCACAATTAGAGGCCTCTGTCTAATAAAAGACAGAGGACAATGTAATGAACAGGTATATTTTTGGCTTCATGACAGCTATTTCACCATTTTTTGAAACCCATACCCTAATTTCCCACCGAATATTCCTCCTTTTCCACTCTCAATTCATGTTGTTAGGTGGGATAAACACATTCCAACCCAGAGGTAACCTGGTCATCTGGGCTGAGGCCAACCAAACTTCACAATCCCACAGTGAATGATTAAGAATGGACATATGGCCCAATGAGAGCCAATGAGACAATCATTTAGGCTCTTTTTCGGTGAAAATGAACTGTAAATGAGAAAACAGTTGAACCAGGAAAAGGTATAGGCCCAAGGAAGATAGAAAAAGACGAAGTCCCTTTTATAAGAAAATACAACTAACAAAGTTTAATCAGTAAGAATCATTTGTTGATTCATATCACAAGGAGTCCAAGGTAGGGTAGCTCCAAGATTGCTAAATTCATCAGTTGATGAATTTAGTCATCTAAGTTCTTAATTAATCTTTCTGTCATGTTATCCACAGCATGTCAACACTGTCCTTGGCTGAGTTCCCTCACAGTTATTAGACAACTGCAGTGGCTGCAGTAGCATCACATCTAGACAACAGTCTAAAAGAGGCCATCTCTTCCTGTAGGTCCCTTCTAAAGAGCAAAGGGACATTTCCCCAAATTCCCCAGCTGACTTCCCTTCACACCTCCCGGGCCAAAATTGTGCCACATACCCTTGCCCAAATGAGTCATGGTCAAGAGGAATAGAACCACCATAATAGTCTTGGACCAAACAGAATTCAATCCAGTAACTAAGGCCACGCTTAGCCTCTCCTGAAGCATATGACTGTATGGCAGATGGAGGATACTTGAGATAAATCAAGGATTTGTTAGCAAGTCACAATAATCATGAGAGAGCACTGTGAGGCTTTTGCTTGTGCTTCTGTGTAAACAGCATGTCGGATCTGCAGGGGTGTGCCTCCTTCTAGACACAACAAGAGATCCAGTGTCATGGACTATCCTTTCCACTACCAGATGGCTGACTTCAGTGATGCATGTACATATGAAACTGAGAAGATATAAGTTCTGGAGACTTTGCAGTCATCTTGTGAGCTTGCAGGGGACCTTGACTATGATTGAGCCAACAATGATGTGAGAAAAGCCAAGAGGCCTACAGAGAGAAACGTGTTGCCTTATAGCTACACCCGAAGATAATCGCATCTCTGGGCTTCTCAGTTATGTTGTTATTGTGCGCTTCCATTGAGTCAACTTCCTCTCATGACAACCTCATGCACAACCAAATGAAACAGTGCCTGGTCCTCCTTAATTTTCCTGATTATTGGTATGTTTGAGTCCACTGTTGCAGCTATTGTCATGTATTTATTGCCTTTCAACCTAAGAGACTTATCTTCCAGTACTATATTGGATAATGTTCTATTGTGATTCATAGGGTTTTCATTGGCTACTTTATGATTCTAGATCACCAGACCTTTCTTCCTTGTCTGCCTAGTCTGGAAGGTCTCTAAGAATTTAAGTTACTAATAATGTATTAGTTCATCAGTTGTAACAAATTGCTACAGAAATGCAAGATGTTAATAATAGAAGAAATACTGTGTAGGCTGGAGAGAGGGAACACAGAAACTCTCTGTATTTTGTACAATCTGTGAACCTAAAACGTCTCTAAAAAATAAATTGTATTAATTTTAAGGAAAAAAAAATAGGGCAATGATCTCACACCAACAAAGATAGCTATTATCAGAAAAACAGAAATTAACAAGTGTTGCCAAGGATGTGGAGAAATCAGAATCCTCCTGCATTGCTGGTGGGATTGTAAAATGGTACAGCTGCTGTGGGAAATTGATTGGCGATTCCTTAGAATTAAGCATAAGATTACCATGTGACTCAGCAATTTCACTCCTAGGTATATATGCAAGGGACTTGAAAGTAGGAACTGAAACAGAGGCTTGTACACCAGTGTTCATTATAGCACTATTCACAATAGACAAAAGGTGTAAACTGTAACGTCGAGATAAGGAAGAGAAGGGGCACAGAAGGTAGAGCAAGGAAAATTTTATTCCACTCCTGGCAAGGTTCACGGGTCCCTGAAAGGAGCCAGAGCAGTCGTGCTG